TTCAAAGATTGCAAAGTGCATGGTGGAGAAAGGATACTCTAGGGACCTCCAGCAGTGCCAAGCTTAAATAAAGAGCTGAGGAGTCCCTTCACAAAAGAAAGGAGGCAAACAGATGGTCTAATGCATCGCTGCAAATGTGCCATTTCTGTGATCAGCTACATGTGATTCTGGGGGGAAAGGAACCCGATCTGCTTCCCAAGCCTGACTGTGGAGTCTGCTTGAGACACTGCTGGCAGCAGTGTGGAGGACGGCATTCTGGCAGAGGAGGAGGAAAATGGTGATCGGCAAGAGCCAAGAAATTTTCATAATATTCTCCCAGGACATCTCACAGTTGAGCACCGATCCTGGAGAAGGCACTTCTGGTGAGTTCACAATTTTTTTTCTTACTACAAGTGGGTTAAGGCAGTTGTATGTGATGTGTGATGTACTCTGTGCCTACACATCACAGGAGCAGCAGGGGTGAGGTAGAGCAGCTGTTAATGTGTTTGGAGATTCTCCCTGCACATCTCCATGAAGCTCTCAGATAGGAACTCTTTGATCCTTCTCACAAGGTTTCTGAGAGGTCAGTCTTGTTCTAGCCTCCAAGGTAGGACCTTCCAATACCAAGCAAGCAGTAAGTGGTCTGGCATCATTGCCTCCTAAAGCCTAGGTTTCTAGCCATATTCAGTCTGCATCAGCTCCCTATCACTCTGTGTCATGGAGAGAAAACTGGTATCTCACATGGCAACCTGGATGAAGGAGGAGAGGAAGCAATTAGCTGCTGCTTCTGCTGTTAGCATGGCGTCAGCCTCTGGCACTCCCTCCATTATGCCCTCCTAGCTGCAGCCTCCTGCAGGATGGCATAGCACTCTCTTGGGAAGCCTTGAGTTCAGATGCTCCCCTGAGAACTCTGTGTACCTGCTATACAGTTGCCGCTATAAAGCAAAACTTTGGCCTTGCACAGAACACATCTTCATTATCTTTACATAGACCTTTGCTGTATGTTAACAGATTAGGGATAGGTTTAACACAATGCATCTCCTGTAACGTGTGCCCTTGTAACTTTTCGTTACAGTGGGAACAGCAGGCAGCTCCCTGCATACTCCCCCTCTCCAGCATCCGTCAGTGTCGCACAGATCTGCAGATGAAAATGGACAAGAGAAGACCCATTTAAGGAGCAAATAGAATGGAGGAATATGTTCTTGGATAAGATGGAGGTGGAGAGGCAGGAGAAGATGGCAGCATGGCAGAACAGGAAAGTGTGCAGGGAACTGCAAGCAAGGCAACAGAAGGATATCTTTGCCTCCCTGACAGCGGTGATGGAGCACCTGATGAAAGACCCTTCCCAGGACCACCTCCTCCCGTCGCAAAATACCTTCCTCTCCCTCCCCAGGTCCATCACCTCCATCCCCAGAGGCCCCAGGATACGGGGAGGGAACTCAAGGGCAGCCTCACACTCAACCTTCAGAGCATTGGGAGGCAAAAGGCTGTCCTTGCATTTCTGAGTCTTCCCCTGTTTGAGTTTCCACCATGGACTTTTTTTCTTTCCCTGCTGTCTTCCCTAAATAAAAATGCATGACTTCTGAACAGCAATCTCTTTATTGCTTGCACTGCATGGGTGCAGCAGGGGATTACAGGCAAATACAGTGAATGCAGGGGCACCTTGTTGAGAGCAACATTAATGATTCTCAAAACTGGCCATTCATACAACTTTTTTTCCCCCAAGTCTCTCTGATTTGCACTGCCCTGTGCTGTGCTCTCCTTATCACCCTGGTGTCTGGCTGCTTAAAATTTCTAGGTACCTCAGCCCCCTACTCTGCCAGATGACTTTCCTCCTTGTTCTCACAAATATTATGGAGCACACAACACACTGTCACCACAAACGAAATGTTGCATTCGCTGAGGTCCAACCTAGGCAATAAACTCATAAACCTTCTTTTTAAATGCACAAAAGCACATTCAGCTACCTTTCTGCACTTGCTCAACCTGTAGTTGAACTGCTCCTTACTGCAGTCCAGGCTGCCCATGTGTGGCATCATGAGCCATGGGAGCAAGGTGTAGGTTTCATCACTAAGGATCACTATTGGCATTGGCCTGCTAAACCCAGGGTTGTGAGTTCAATCCTTGAGGGGGCCATTTAGGGATTTGGAGCAAAACTTTGTCAGGGATAGTACTTGGTCCTGCTGTGAAGGCAGGGGACTGGACTCAATGACCACCTTCAAGGTCCCTTCCAGTTCTAGGAGATAGGCAATCTCCATTTATTTATTTATTTATTTATTTATTTCAATGCCTCCCATTTTGATTTTCTGGTTTGGGGAAAAAAGTTCCACTGTGCATCTTTTTGAAGAGGCAGGAGTTCGTAAAGGTGTGTACATATCATGCACCTTTCCCGACCATCCCACATGGATGTTGGTGAAACAGCTCTTGTGATCCACCAGCACCATTGAGAAGTCTCCCTTGGAGTTTATGTACTCCTTGGCAAGGCGGTTGGGGGCCAGGATCGGGATGTGCATTCCGTCCATCACCCCACCGCAGTTAGGGAACCCCGTTGTGGCAAAGCCATCTACCGTGGTATCCACATTTCCAAACATCACTACCAAGGTTCCCACCAAGCTGTGTGGTAGCACAGCCTCACAGCTGCTTTAATGAGCCCCGCCCAGCCGGGGCTAAGGGGTTCATGCACAGAGTTGACTGGTTGCAGGAGGGGCACCTCTCCCTCAGCTACAGCAGCAGCTCCCTGAGGATACAGAGCAAAGAGTTTCTCCCAGCCAGTAGGGAGGGGATGTGTCCCTAACAGCTGTGGGAGACTTGCTACTCTGCCCACAGCAAGGAGTTGCAGCTGTAGCTGAGAGAGAAGTGCCCCTCTCCTAGTCAGGCAGCTCCGAGGGGGGGGGGGCTCATTAAGCAGCTGTGAGGCTGTGCTGCCACACAGAGGGATCCTTGGTCACTACCCTCTGTAGCAGATTCATATTGATCACCTTGGCTACTTGTATAATAGCAGCCCCCACTGTAGATTTCCCAACTCCAAACTGATTCCCAGCTGACCGATAGCTGTCTGGTGTTGCAAGCTTGCACAGGACAATTGCCACATGCTTCTTCACGGTCAGAGCAGGTGTCATTGTGGTGTCCCTGCAGTTCAGGTCAGAGGAAAACCATTTGCATAATGCTTCAAGTACGGAACAATCAGCAGTGGCTGCAAAAATTCTGAATGTGCAAGGCCAATATTTGCAGCCGCTGCTGATTGTCCCGTACTTGACGCATTATGCAGACCCACTAGTCTGTGTTTCTCTCAGCACCGGAACTGGTGTCCCAATGTCAATTGCTGGCTGCAGTTGCATTTTTCCTGAATACAAGGGCTTGCTGTGTAGCCTGCCCATGAGACTCCAAGAGGGAGGAGATTGTCCCCTTCATCCTCTTCCTGGTGTGCCATGCTTAGCTCTCAAAATACTGCACCATTAGGCACACCAAGGTAGACATCAACATCACAATGGTTTGAGGCACAACGGGATCCATGAGGGAGGCCATGTTTGCACTGCTATGATATCTGCATGGGCAACCAAGGCCAAAAAGGGAGGAAAAAGACTGCTTCCCATTGATCTCAAGCAAGGGGGGAGGGAGTAGATAAGCGTATTATGGGACACTGATGATGAGCCCATAACCATTTACTGCACAGTTTTTTGGTCCCAGTATGCACTGAGAGCATAATCTAGCATGCAAAGCAGCACAAGAACTGAGGGAAATCTACCTACAATGCATTACTCAGTCGACAGCAGTTTCCCTAATGGGGACACAATACTTCAAACTACATTGAATTCTTGCACGCGGTGAGGACATGGACCATTGACTTTGAAAACTCAGGTGACCAGAAATCATATGTAATAGATTCAGCCTTATCTCATAGTGTAGATATGGCCTGAGTCTAACTTCTCTGTTCTCTCCAGTCTGGCTCTTATTCTCTCCACATTTGAATAAGGCAGTTCCCTCCTCTGTGTTGCAGGGTGGGGAATGAGGAGGGAATCATTGAGACTTCAAAAGTGGCAAGCTCTCTGCTGTCTGTTAGTGCCTAGCCCAAGTACATGCTTGCAGCAGGCCCTGTTGACAATTGCAGGGAATGTCCTGCTCATCCCTGAGCTGAAACATTCCCAGTGCAGATGGAATCTTTGGAGTTTTGAGCTGCAGCACTTTAGCACAGGGGGGGCAGTTGGCAGGCCCCCACCACTTTGTTTACTTGCGCCTCCGCAGATATCAGGTGATTGCAGCTCTTGGCTGCAGATCTGCCATTCACGGCCAATGGGAGCAGCAGGAAGCAGCGCAGAGTGGGACGCCGCGGATGGCGATCCATGGCCAACGAAAGCTGCGATCATGTGATACTTGCAGAAGCACAGGTAAACATAGCAGTGGTGGCACACGAGGGACTAACCCTGGTGGACAGATCTGGCCCACAGGCTGGTATTTGCGCACCCCTGCTCTAGCAGCTCCCCAATGAGCATGTGTTAAGTGCGATTTTTCCAAGAGCCTGTAAGTTGGCCAAAGTTTAACGGAATTACATAGAGAAACTGAAAAGCTCTGACACGTCAACTATCACCTGTCAATTTTCAAGGCCTTGCTTCAAGATGGAAGATCTAAAGAGGTCCCGAGACAAGGTCATCAGAATTTTTTAATATGGGCAAAATATATGTTTCAATAGCCTAATTCTCAGACATGACTGAGAACTGTTTTGATGAAACTTTACAGTAAAATTCAGCCTCGATCAGACACACCGCATGGAAAAAATTAATCCAGATGACATTTGTAAATTTATAAAAAGGGTCTTATAATGGGAAGTATCAGGCAACCTTAATAATAGGTTTTGCTACCAGCCTAAAATACATATAGACACTGCTAATCTAAGTACTTTAACAGGTTTGGTAATGAAAACTGGACAAAATATGGAGACCTCTTCTGAATGTTATATATATTTTATTTAGGATTAAGATTTGAATGGTTTTATCTTTACCTAAATTTCATTGATTTTTTTGTAGAGTAATTATTTGGTGTTCATGGCAGAACTTTTCTGGTGGTTTGAAGTGGTGAAGCCCTCATTTGTACAGCCACGTGTTGTCATTAATCCCCAAGGTAACTAAGTATTTGATTTTGATGTCATTTTAACTAGTGCAGAATAAGCCCATAGAGTTCAGATTTCTATAGTGTAAACAGATTTTATCTGCAATTCAGTTCACAGAGGTTGGCTACAAACTAGCCCTTTAAAGTGCTGAAAGTATCTGTGTAATCAGAAAACCTTCCTTCTATGAAATTTGAATGTATTTTTCAAGAACCAACAAAGCTGAAATGTGGTGGATTCCTCTTCCTTGACATGTCTGTCATCATCATCGGACATGTTAAGTCTCCTCTAGATTACAAAAATTTGCCTAGTTGTAACTACATTGATGTAATCTAGATGAAACTTAAATTCCACTCACTTATCTGTGCAAGTCCTACAAAAGCAGTGGAATTTTGTAGACATAGCCGAGGGCAGAATTTGACACACACAGTCTTTTACTGCTGAGAATGAGATACAAAAGCAAAATAACTCAGGGAAGGAAGAGTGGTTAACAGATTAGACAGCTGCAGGCAGGGATGACAGAACTCTTCACCTGCATAACAAACTTCATTTCAGGCACAATCTTTCTTCAGCAATTTTTCAGACTGATAAATCTGCCTCTCAGGCAGATCTTTTAGAGGCTGTGGAGGCAAGGCAAAGATTATATGCTATAGTACCATGATCTTGGCATGGAGACCTAAGATCACAGTTCTTGTTTGTATGCACAAACTGTAAAATAGACAAAAGATCTGGAAAAGGTCATTTAAATGGCACAAAGTTACGATGTAGCTCAAATATTATTTTTACTAAACAGAGTAAAAATATTGAACAAAAATAATTTGTCAGAAAATTATCCTTTTTCAAAATGAGAAACTTGCAAAAATCAATTTTTCCTCGAACATTTCTTGAAAAAAACATTTCATGGCTTTTACAGGGTTTTTTTCTTATTTATCAAGATGTCTTTATGCCTCCAACTCTTCCTCTTCCCCTTTTCAGTGGTAAAATGGGGGAAAGGGAACTGAAGAAGGGCAAAGGGAAAAAATGAAGATTTTCCATTTTAAAAATTGAATACGTTTTAAAAAACCTATTCCTTTTTGTAAGCTTATGGAATAAAAAAAAACTGTCAAAATATTTCAGCCAGCTTTGTTGATAAGGTTTTTAACTGCATGATAAACGAAAATAATGTGGAAGTTTTGTCTTCTGTTACAGCTGAACCTGTGAAAGATGCATCTTCTGTTCCTATTTTGAATGCTAATAGAAGAAATGTTATGGATAGTTCATGTGGTTCTGACTTTATAGCCAGGTAATATCAGTCTCTTCAGTACTGTTTTACATTTTTTCCCTTCCACTCAAATCAAGCACAAATATGTCCTTTTTAGAAATGTCTGGAGGGTGTATTACCAAATATGAGCCAAATTTCTTATACGTGATTCTGTAAACATAAAGCAAAAGGCTGTTAACAATTATTATAGAATTTTCTGAACCTGGTTCCCTGGATTTCTTTTCATTCTGTGTAAGAGTACATATGAAAAGATTGAGAAAATTAGTTATATTCTGATAATAAATTTAGTTATAGAAATGCAAGACCGGTAGTTTGTCTAGAACAAGAATTGCTTGTAATATAGAAGCCTGTCACACATAACTCTTTCAGTGTGCCTCAGACCAATAAGATCTACTACCTGCATTTCCAGTTTATTTAGGCTTCACTTTCTTATAATCAGTTTTGCAAGTCATGAAGGCACACAGCTCTCGTTTAAATGGAGGGAAATGAATATACGTAGCACCTCAAAGGACGGGGACTATTCAGAGAGATTGCAGTTCATCATCATCTGCCCAGTAGGGACTAAAATAGGAATAATAAATGTAGTTACTTATGAACTACAATATAGAGGATTGAACTCTGTCACCAGTGTACTAACATTCTGTACCACAAAAAAAACCTTACATCTGGAAATTCAACATTCAAACTAGTCAGTTGGTTCAGTTCCAGCAGCCTCCAAACTTGAATATATGTTATCCCAGCATCCCTATTTAAACATGCTGCTATGTAAAATAATTATTTGCTTTGCTTTTTTTATATTCTTGCAGTATGTGCTCTTAAAATAGTGACTTAGAAAAGGAAGTTACTCACCCTGTGCAGTAACGATGGTTCTTCAAGATGTGTGCCCCTGTGGGTGCTCCACTGTAGGTGTCGAGTTGCCCTGGCGCTGCAGATCAGGGTTTTGCACAGCAGTAGCTCGTTGGGCTGCGCATACACACCAAGGTATGTCTACACTAGCCCCCTAGTTTGAACTAGGGAGGCTAATGTATGCATTCGAAGTTGCAAATGAAGCCCGGGATTTAAATATCCCGGGCTTCATTTGCATCTTTCCGGGCACTGCCATTTTTAAATGTCCCTTAGTCCGAACTCCGTGCCCGCGGCTACACACGGCACGGAGTAGGTAGTTCGAATTAGGATCTCTAATTCAAACTACCATTACTCCTCGTGAAGTAACTTCGAATGCCTACATTAGCCTCCCTAGTTCGAACTAGGGGGCTAGTGTAGACATACCCCAAGTGTCTCATGCCATTCACACCTGTTGCTTCGCACACGTGGCCCAACCCTTTCTCAGTTTCTCGTGTACTCCTGAGTATCTAGATAAGAAACAAAAATAGAGAAAACACTTCTGAAGAAAGGGGAGGAGGGTGAGTAGTGGAGCACCCACAGGGGCACACATCTCAAAGAACCATCGTTACTGCACAAAGTGAGTAATTTCCTTTTCTTCTTCGAGTGATGTCCCTGTGGGCGCTCCACTCTAGGTGACGTTGTAGCAGTTGTGAATTATAAGCCAGACGGCAGACTTCAGAATCACCTGGTGTTGACAGCGGACAATACTGCTGTGGCTATTGAGGTATCATTAGCAAAGTTTTTAAGAATCGCGTAGTGTTTCATAAAAGTATGATCTGAAGACCACGTGGCAGTTGAACAAATGTCTCTGAGTGAGACGCCTCACAGAAAGGCCGTGGAGGTAGAAACTGCTGTTGTGGAATGAGCTGTAGGTGGAATTGAGAGTTTTGCCTCGTAAGGCATGACATTATGTGATGCAGGCTACAATAGTTTTGGATATATGTTGTAAGGAAAGTGGCTTGCCCTTAAATTGGTTGGCTACTGAGACAAAACAGTCGTGAAGTGCAAAGTCTCTGGTGTGGTCAATGTAATAGCAAGAGCCCTATGAACATCTAAAGTATGGAGCAGGACATCCCTTGAAGATCAGTATGGTTTAGGGTAAAACGTCTGGAGACCGATCGGCTCATTGATGTGGAAGTCTGATGAGACCTTTGGTAGAAAGGATGGATGAGTACGTAAAATTACGGAGTCTTTAGTAAAAACCGTGTTCAGTGGAGCCGCAGTAAGGGCAGCAAAATCTCTAACTCTACATGCAGATGTTATTGCAAAGAGGAATAACACCTTGGTTGTCATAATGGGTAGAGGACAGGTAGCTAGAGGTTTGAATGGAGGTCTGGTCAACGTGTTGAGAAGTAGTTCAAGATTCCATGAAGATGGGCGAGGTCTGGATGGTGAGGAAAGGTTTTGGAGGCTCTTCAAAAATCATCTAGTTACTGGATGAGTAAAAATAGTGTGTTCCTGGACTGGTGGATGGAATATATTAATAGTGGCTAAGTGCACCCTGAGTGTACATCTACCAGGGCTGGCTTTAGGAAGTGCGGGGCCCAATTTGAACCATTTTGGCGGGACCTCCCACCCCCAGGATTTTTTGTTGAGCAAACCACCCACACAAACCACAACCACACACAAATATCACATCAGAAGTAGATCTGATCAAAACGTATACCAATGAAGTTGAACATTTAAAAAAAAAACGCCATCTTTTATTATACAAAATTTTACACAAAATTAAATCAGTTGCCTTAAGTGTAGGTCAAATATTTGCAATTGCAAACTATCCAATTTTTTCAATAAAGTTTAATTTTTAAAAAGTTACCAGAGAGCGTTGCAGTTTTCGGTTACATTGATTTACTTTTTAAATAGCAAAAATGGAGTCTTTGTTAAGAAAGTGTCAGTTCTGTGGTCAAGTTCCAGTCCTTAATGATTTCAGCACCAATGATAAGGTCAGAAGGGACCATTATGATCATCTAGTCTGACCCCCTGCACAGTGCAGGCCACAGAATCTCACCCATCCCTCCCAGAATAATCCTCTCACCTATATCTCAGATATTGAAGCCTTCAAATACTTTGAAGACCCCAAGATGCAGAGAATCCTCTAGCTGTGATCTGTACCCCATGCTACAGAGGAAGG